TCCTTAATTCTGCATTTATAAGATTATGTTGTTTGATAAATCAATAATAACATAAGTAATGTGGCACTGTAGTCTAATCCTGTTGAAGATTACATTTCATGCTTTTGTATTTGAGACTTACTTCTGCATAAGGTAATTTTAAGTGGAAAAATTAGCATAAAAACTCTTGAACACTTTTATATTCAATGTGGAATAGTTGAGGAAGTTCCAGCTGAGCCCCAAAATATTGCAGATCAGTGTGCATTTCCTGATTTGTGATAGAATGTGCATGTCTTATTAATGGTCTTGCACTGGTTACTTAAAAATGGTGTTTCTATAGTTTCTAATATTTTTATTGATTTAATTTTTTTTTTAGTTTCTCTTGATGTAAAATAATGTATTTTCTTTCCCTTTCTAGGAGTTGCTCTGCGGAACATTCCTATTGCTATTGCATTAAGGCAACAGAGTGATTCATGGATCATCCTAAAAGCACAAGTGAGTGAATTGCAGTTTGCTCTGTTTAACTTGATTCTCCACCAGAGATGCATTGGCTGACTGAATATTGAAGGCATTCTCTAATTTGCCAAGTATTTACCATCCAAACATGCCTTAGAATTCCAATTCAATATGGCCAACAAAGCTGGAGACAATAGCAGTATGAGATGGCACGTCCAAGCCATACTACCTAAAAAAGAGAAAGTGTGTAGAACACCATTTCTGGAATTCTTTCAAACTCCTTTACCAATAGTAGCCCTTTGACATTTGCATTCTTTGGAACACAACAATATGTTATGAGTGAGAGGGTATGTGTGTCATCTCTCTGTGTTTGCTCCCCTCTTAGATTGTACCTATAGTAATGGGTATATGTGCTCTGGGAAGCACAAGAAAAGGTGCAGATACTTTTGTGTCACATAACCAAGCTGTTTGTGTCACATAACCAAGTGGGAGGGGGCTTACAGCACTTAGCAAAATGAGAGGTCATGGTGTTCTCTGAGCTTGGTTGTTTCCTTGCAGATGTTTCATTATCAAATTAGGTGAGTACCTAGTTTGGTAGTGAAACATCTGCAAGAAAACAACCAATCTTAGAGACCACCAAGGACTTCACAGTTCAACTCTGAGCTACAACTATTCTCTTCTATCGCTACTCAGCAGAATGTTGATCCTTTTCCAAATCTTTCTCCATTGGTGGTGGTGGAGGGCAAGCAATTTAGGAGGAAAATATTTTCTCTGCAGTTCCCAATCAGATTCAGCCTCTCAGAAACTCAAACTTTCTTTAGTTGGCTTCTTCCTTCATACCAATCTGATCCCATTCGATTCTGTTTTCAGTGTGATTGTACAAATTGTATACACCTTTACATAATCTATTTCCAACATTGAGTTGGGCTAGAAAGTTTTTTTTAAAGGAGAGTGGATATGTTGGTGATATCTATCAATATTTATTATATGAACTGCATGTTGAGATAAATATTATATAATAATTATTTGCTATTTTTTTCTATATACAAAATTAGTTGGATTAAGAATGGGAAGACACAGAATCAAATCCCAACTATGTCATGAAATTCACTAGATGGGCCAGTCACTTTGTCTTAGCTTAGTCTATCTGACAAGTGAACATAAAGACTAAATTTATTTTCATTGAATGATTGGTTGATTGATTGATTCATTCATTCATTCATATGGAGTAGCACCACTTGGTACTTTACAAAAAAAATGAAACATGCTTTATAAAAATATTCATGGTGTAATAAAAAAAATAGCATAAGAACCACTGGTGACCAAGCTTATAAATTTTGATTTGGACTACTTTCTGGAAGACAACATGGATAGCACCCCTCTCACTTTCCAGAGACAGGCAGTTTTCAGCAACAAGTGGTATCATAGAAAAGTAAAGAAATTTTTTGGAATTTATACTAAGGCACAACAAATAGATAAAATTTTATTAGGTCTAGATAAAAAAAATATAACTAAATTTTATAATTATTTACTAGAGATGGAATTAGAAGAGGAAGTAGTCAAAGGCAATATGATAGCTTGGAGTAGAAACATAGGACGTAAAATTACCAGATCAGCAGCATACAAAGAAAATGCCTCTAAAATGTTTTATAAATGGCATCTCTCACCCTCGAGAATAGCGAATATGTCTCCTAACATGAATCCAAATTGCTGGAAATGTAAAAAGAAACAGGGAACATTCTTTCACATGTGGTGGTCCTGCACTGAAGCCCAAAGATACTGGCATAGAATAAAAAAATGGTTAGAGGAAATAATGGCGGAGCATATTGAATTAAAACCAGACTTCTTCCTATTGGGGATATTTAATAGACAAATTCCTAAAAATGTCAAATATATAATACTGCATATTCTTACTGCAGCCAGAATAACCTTTGCACAGTGTTGGAAACAAGCAGATATTCCAACAGAGGAGATGGTTATACAGAAGATAACAGCCTGTGAAGAGATGGACAAGTTAACCTTAGCACTTAATGAAAAAGAAACATCAGAATATTATAGAAGCTGGGAATGCTGGTATGACTGGATAGAACAAAAATAGAAAATATATTAGTAAACAACGTAAAATGTAAATCATAATTATATATTCGCAATAAGATGTATTTGTAAATCTATCACCAATATTGATAACAAACAAGGAACCATAGACTGTCGATAGTAGAATTGTTAGTTTTTTAATCATCTTCTTTTTTTCTATTTCTTTTTTTTTTCTGTGTGTTGTGTTTGTTTGATATTTTGGTTTTGTAATCAATAAAGTTTGTTTAAAAAAAAAGAAAGAAAAGTAAAGCTTTCTGACCTCAGCATATCTCCCCAAAATTCTCTATTATGAGCAGTTTTTTTTTTCTTAAGATTAGCACCTCAATCCCTTTTGGATGGGGTAAATAGTTCTGAAGTGCCAGGTATAAAGGGACTTATAGGTTAAAGCTAGCACTTTGAACTAGTGGCAAGCCTAAAATTTAGGACAACATGCTGATGACATGCTTGATCATATGTACAAGATAACACATACATTGGTCTATTCTGCACCAGCTATAGATTGCAAGTGATCTTTGATGTAAAGTATGCACTCATCCATATGGATGTTGATGGATTGGTTAATTATCATAGCAAGTTTTTCACTTCAGATAGGACTCTGATTGGGCAAGTGCCCATCTGCTTAACTAGTAGATACCAAGATTGTCTATAAGGTTTAACATCATATTCAGGCATTTTCACTGCACCACTTCAAGGACAGAGCCACTGGTCCCAAACAGATTTTGGGGGGCAGTGCTGTTGCACCCTTTCCCAGCTTGCATGATGCAGCTGCTTCCTGAAACCCAAGAAGACAGATTTTTTTAAAAAAATAATAATCAGAAATATATCTCAAGTGTAAGTTGGGAATGGGTGGGGGTGTCTTATGACAGGCAGATATGGCATGATCAGCAGCACTTTGAGACTAGCAACATGATGTGGAAGGAAAGAATATATTTACATTGCTTGGAGATCCTGGATGAATGGTGAGACATGAATGCAGTAAATCAATCACATATGACATTCTTCTATCTGCCTTTTAATTCCATGTTGGTAAGAATTTTCCATTTTAGTTACTTTACAATAGATATACCATGGAAATGACTCCGAGTCTTTTCTACTAAGGAACCATAGTTTATCTTACTTTGAGAATTCAATTTTAAAAATGAACCAGTACATAAACAAACAAAAAGAAAGAAACCACAATTTATTATGCCTATAAGTTAGGAGATTCATGGAACTGGGAAAGCTCTTGACCAGGGAATTAACAAGACAAATAACTGCTCATATTGCTAAAGGGAGTAGCCATAAATTCTATATTTCTATCCTTACCATTTTTATTTTTCATTTGATGAATTTTTTTAAAGTAAAATATTGTCAAGTCTCATTTCCCAAGGGACCTTCACCCATCCTATTTCATCCAATCATAGATCCTAATCAGTTCTATTCCTTCTAAATTGTCCTTGGTTCTGTCATGGCATCATAATAAAATTCACAGGTACAGCAAATACGTTAGAAACCCACAACATACTATATTTCTTGCTAACTTAGTGATGCCTATACCAGAAGAAAATAAATCAAGGGAACAAATGGTATATGTTACTTGAGAAGTTCTGCATTTAACTAATTTTACTTGGAATTATCTCTAAAGAAATATCTCATCTGGGTATATGGTCTTCATGCAGGAAAAAAAAGACAATCTGCAAAAAGAAAACTCAGTGCTCCTATACCAGAGACACATTCCTTGTGTATCTAACCATACTTGACCAAATAAAGTATTCTGTTCTGTTCTGCTCTATTCTACTCTAATTTCTTTGCTCTGCTCTGCTCTGCTCCACTCTGCTCTATCCTACCCTACTCTATTCTAAAATGCAAATCTAAACTGCTTTCAGAAGAATTCTAGTGATGCAATAGGTCATACTTCATATATATAAGTTTTTGCATTAAGTTTTACGTTGAAAATCAGCTACATACAAATGTCCCTTGTTAGAGAAGTGAAAATGTGAGTTAATATTTAAATTAATTAGAGAAAAAGATATGCTCTAAATTGTGCAGCCTTAAAACTTAGGCTATTCATAGAGTCTATTTTTCAATTTCTGCTTTATCAAGAAGAGCTCTGGTTCAGAGGAGTACAGTATTTGATCTAATCCTACTCAATTATTGTATCTTGCAGGAGGAAATACAGCATATTTATTTAATAAAAAGAATGTATTTCCTTCCTGCTTAATTCAAGAGCAATTATTAGAAAAAGTTTAAGCTCCTGTCACAAGAAGGCAATTTGTGAAAATTAATCAGCCATCCACTTTTAGCTAGCTGATATGTGATTGTTACAGGCTGGCATAGCTTCATGCTGCCTGCTAGCATTCCACTGATTGGCTTTGACAGATGTGGTTTGTAGCTGAAATGGAAAAATTAAGTAAAGGATTCATCTAAAGGTTTTTTTGTATTTTATAATGTGCTTCTTATTCATCTACAGTTGTGGAAATTTAACTTTTCTATTGCATAGTCCAAAATTATACTTTGTGTGTGTCATCCTTGTGCAGGGCCATGCTAATCTTCTCTGTATCATTCCAATTTTAGTATACGTGCTGCTGAAGCATGCACATATACTTCTTAAAAATAAATCCTACTGAATTCAACAGGATTTACTTCCAAACATGCACCACACATCAAGGGTAACCCAAAGAACATTTAATTTTGTTTCTGGGAAAATGGATATAGGTTTACAGCCTTAGAATTGTCAGGAAAGACTTCAAAATGGGCATCGTTCCAAGCAAACTGAAAGAGACAAATGTCCTGAACTGTGGGCCTGAGACAGGAACCCACCCTCTTCCTTACTAAAGTTAATCCTCAATTCCATACTTGTTCAGATGTAGTAGATTTACAGTTGTTGTGGTAACTCTTCATCTGGAGAGGAGGGGAATTATTGCAGTTGCTAAGCTACCAATTTCTATGGATTTAACATATTGGAAGAGCAAATAGGGAGCAGATTAAATTGATGGACAGCAAACAAATATATGAAAAAGTAGAAGAGATTTAGAAATAAGGAAGAAGCCTGCAAAAGATAAAGCAAGGCAAACAAAGACATCGCGAAGCAGTTGAATATAGAAGCCAAGGTAGCTGGATGGCAAGCACAGAATTAGAAAAAAAAATCTAGTGAATCTGCTATCTCCTTTTTAAGAGGCAGCATTCCAGTTTATCTTAAAGAAAAACATGTTAAAATCTACAGTTTTATTTGTAACTTGCTAAGTAACCTAAAATAATGCTTATGCATACTTTTCCCTAATGTTTCACTCAAATTCTTCAAGCAACCTTTTGTAAAACAAATTCTCTCAATGTTTCTTTATTGCAAAAATAAGATATGAAAATATACTAAGAAAAATAGAAGGAAATATATTAGGATTTGGAATTGAATAAATGAACATAGAATTGAGATGAGAATTTCAGATAATATTGTAAAATAAGATAAGAGAATATGAATTGGGATTGGATAAGATAAGCTTAATATTTAATGATGATAAGGATGACATAATATGAAATTAAACAAATAAAATGAATAGGTAACTATGGTCATGTTTGTATTGTGATGTGAAACCTGGAACCATACTGCTTGCCAAATGAGAATTTTTTATTTAAAAAATAAAATGAAAACAGGGAGAAAATTGAATAATGGAATTACTAGGTATGTTTAACTGATATGGTGGTAGGCATTTGGAAAGAGTAAGGTTAAAAATAGATATTAAAGAAGTATGAATTAATATGAGTGTATGCAATGAGAGATGTATGATATATTGATATCACACTGTTAAAGTATTGTTGTTATATGTAGATTGAAATAAAAAAATTGGGGGAAAAAAGAAGATTCTTCAATTAAAATTTACATTCAGAAAATAATTTTATTTGAAGAGTTTTCCTACATTTATTTCATGGAAATTCTATCTGTAAATATACACTATGGTTATGTAATGATGTGAGAAATGGAAAATTGATTCTTTTTTTTCTTTGAAAAAAAGGTATCAGAAAATTAATTTCAGCTGCTTTTGGATGGGGATTGTTTACATTTAAATATTTAAACAAGCAAATATTTAATATTTTAAACAAGTAATATTTAAAAGAACTGTATGGACTACTTTAACACTGGACCAAAATCAAACCCGTTTGTATCATTTCCTGAAATATTTCTTGTTTCCACATTCTCAGAGTATCTGAACATTTCTTGTGGAGGTCATTGGTAGCATTTTGACGTTGCAAAGCTGTTGAAGGATTCAATATACAAAAGGCCACTGTTATGAAAAGACTCCAACTTCAGCATTGTTAACTAGGTTCATGTTTAAAAAGAAGTAGATAATAACAGAAGCTTGGTCATCAAGACATGTTAGGGAAACATTAAGCAATAATGGGCTAGCTGTGATGCTTCAGATGCTTTTGAATTTCCAGCTCCAAATCTCTTGAACAGTCAGTTAAAGAGTGAGTAATGCTGAAATGTAGTTAAGTACTTAGAGTTGTCTATAGGAAAAAACTGTGAGAAAAGTACTGGAACTAGAAATACATTTTTGTGAACAGCCAACTGACATATAGCAACAAATTTGAGAGTTGCAAAGAGCAGGTTTCCATTAGGCCATAGAAAAGATTAGAGGAAAAGGGCAAATTTAATTTTCAGTGAGTACTAGAAAGGACAATATGTTCATGGTGACAAAGCCAATCAACAATTCATAAATACTTTGTTCTAGTATGTAGCAAACAAGCTTCTGGGTAACTTCTAAGTAAGAGTATGGAGCCTGAGAAAACCCATGAAGAAGACATGGAAACCCTTCAACAGGCAAATAGTATTTATAGTAGTATAATAATGATGACTTGAAGTTTGCTAAATATCTTTATTATTATTCCTGAAAACTTTGATTTTTTTGAGGTTCCTTACTAAGAACGATCCATATTTATAATTACCCAGACATTAGGGTAACAATTTACATTGGACTTATTCTCATTGTTTACTTGTCTAGCAGTGTATCTACTGGATTGGAGATATTCTTATTTAAGGAATATGATGTTTTCAAGTTTCAGTTTTTAATAAAGTAGACTAGGTTAGGAAAACCAATATTGGCAAATTTGTGGTAAGAAGGTTTATTTCATCTATATTTTATGGTCAAAAAATTGAGTTTAATAAAACAAGATTTATGAGCCATAAAATTACAAACATGAAATTCAATACTCAGCTAAGATTGATTTCTTCAGTTGGAATAAATATCTGCCAACCATTAAGATTCCACATGTATGTTCCAAGGGTATAAAAAGTGGAGTGTCAACCTTTTTTCCCGCAACAATGCCCTACATTCTCAGACAAACTGCCCTAAAGCATGGTGATATCTAGGAGGCATGGACAATTCTTTCTAATATATTCCTATTCCTATATGCATAAATAAACTTATTGTGGATGAGCCAACTCTTTTTTCCAACTCCTTTATAAAAATAAAAGCATGGGGAGCAACAGGGATGTAGTCTGCAATTCAACCCCTCATTTTGAACTTTCTTCTATTTCCTCAAGTCTAAAATGAAAAAGTAACTAGGTTTGGCTGAACATACAGATGAAACTCAAAAAATTAGAATATCGTGCAAAAGTTCATTTATTTCAGTAATGCAACATATATATTAGATAGACTCATTACATGCAAATCAAGATATTTCAAGCCGTGGTTTGTCATAATTGTGATAATTATGGCTTACAGCTCATGAAAACCACAAATCCACAATCTCAGAAAATTAGAATATTACATGCAATCAATAAAACAAGGATTATATATAGAACGATATCGGACCTCTGAAAAGTAGAAGCATGCATATGTACTCAGTACTTGGTTTGGGCCCCTTTTGCAGCAATTACTGCCTTAATGCAGCCTGGCATGGAAGCTATCAGACTGTGGCACTGCTGAGGTGTTATGGAAGACCAGGATGCTTAAATAGTGGCCTTCAGCTCTTCTGCATTGTTCGGTCTCATGTCTCTCATCTTTCTCTTGGCAATGCCCCATAGTTGCTCTATGGGGTTCAGGTCAGGCGAGTTTGCTGGCCAATCAAGCACAGTAATCCCATGGTCATTGAACCAGGTTTTGGTGCTTTTGGCAGTGTGGGCAGGTGCCAAGTCCTGCTGGAAAATGAAGTCAGTATCCCCATAAAGCTCATCTATGGAAGGAAGCATGAAGTGCTCCAAAATCTCCTGGTAGACAGCTGCATTGGCCCTGGACTTAATGAAGCACAGTGGACCAACACCAGCAGATGACATGGCTCAACACAGACTGTGGAAACTTCACTGGACTTCAAGCATCTTGCAGTGTGTGCCTCTCCATTCTTCCTCCAGACTCTGGGTCCTTGGTTTCCAAATGAGATGCAAAAGTTGTTCTCATCAGAAAAAAAGGACTTTGGACCACTGAGCAACAGACCAGTTCTGTTTTTCTTTAGCCCAGGTAAGACACTTCTGACATTGTTTGTTGTTCGGGAGCGGCTTGACAAGAGGAATACGACATTTGAAGCCTATGTCCAGGATCCATGTGTATGTGGTGGCTGTTGATGCACTGACTCCAGCCTCAGTCCATCCTTGTGAAAGTTCCCAACACTTTTGAATGGCCTTTTCCTGACAATCCTCTCCAGGCTGCTGTCATCCCTGCTGCTTGTGCACCTTTTACTTCCACACTTTTCCCTTCCACATAACTTTCTATTAATGTGCTTTGATACAGCACTTTGGGAACATCCAACTTCTTTTGCAATTACCTTTTGAGGCTTTCCCTCCTTATGGAGGGTGTCAGTGATGGTTTTCTGCACAACTTTCAGGTCAGCAGTCTTTCTCATGATTGTGCTTCCTACTGAACCAGACTGAGAGACCATTTAAAGGCTCAGGAACCCTTTGCAGGTGTTATGGCTTAATTAGCTGATTAGAGTGGGACACTTTGAGTCTAAAATATTGAACCTTTTCACAATATTCTAATTTTCTGAGATTGTGGATTTGGGGTTTTCATGAGCTGTAAGCCATAATTATGACAAATCATGGCTTGAACTATCTTGCTTTGCATGTAATGAGTCTATCTCATATATTAGTTTCACCTTTTAAGTTGCATTACTGAAATAAATGAACTTTTGCACGATATTCTAATTTTTTGACTTTCACCTGTAGTAACTTGGTTCAGCAAATCTGAAAGCTTTGATTCCTGTTTGCTCTGAATAAGTGAGCTCATTCAGCTGAGAATTGTTGTATTGCCAGTTCCAATTACCTGGCTAATCAGAAAGAACTGGATCTAGAAGGGGAGGAGACCAGTCACTCATAATCCTCTAGAGTTGTTTTAATAAAATATGAAATAATATATTTATGTTTAAGGAAGAGTGATTGCTGATCAGATGGTATGCTTCGTTAAACTACTGTTAGCTGCTGGGAACAATAAAGGATGTGATGAAAGTTGAAGTATATGATGGATCATGGGGGTGAAATGGAAGGAGTGGTGCAGTAGCCTAAAGGTGGAGCTGCTGCCTCACAGTTAGGAGGCTGTGAGTGTGATCCTAGGTAGTGGCAGATATTTTTCTCTCTGGACATAATGAGTAAATATCAGTTGTGAGCTCTGCAT